TAGACATCAGTGTGCTTTGGATCGAGATACCACTTACCTTCACGGATCCTGTGGTAACCCTCCCCGACACCTAGCCAGTCACCTGCGCCGCAGGTCTCCGAGACTGAAGTCTGCCCCTTTCCTTTACTCTAATACACTGATTGATTGGAGTTTCCGGGCGCGTCAGCTGCTAAGGCCTTTAGTCCCGTGAGTGTAGTGCATGTTTTATTGCGAGCGGTAGCGTTCATCTTTCCCCGCTGGATGGCGAGGTCTGGCGCCATCGGCCCTAACCTTCCACCAGCGGGGCACCGCCCCAGCCCAGCTGGGACATGCTCTAAGCTCCCGACTGGTCTCCCGACATGTGCAGTGCATGGGAGTGTACAAGTAAGGGAAAAGTCTAACACGGGACTCAAACCCTAAGACCTCCCGATCAGAATCAAGCTTGGTGTCTTCATCCTTAGACCTCCCCCGCCTTGGCTATCAGAGGCAGCCCTGAAGCCCACCTCCGCCTTTCCATTCGTTTTCGAGGAAAGCAGTCAACGTTCCTCTGTAGCACCATCGCTACGCAAACGATTATGGGGATGGTATGTGTCTGGTAGGGAAGCATTGGGGTTAACAAATATGAACTAGCTTGTTAGATCTAAAGGAGGTTGAGTCTGGCTCACCTAACCAAAACTCACAAATGATCAGTGAATGACACCGCATAGATGCACCTTTCCCTTCTCGGGTAGCCCATATGCTACTCTGGCATGCCGGAATTGAAAATATATGGTATAAATGCGTAAGCATGGTGAGTATAAAAGCCTACCATGTCACAACAGAAAGCTAGAACCCGCGCTCCCTCAGACTGAGATCACCACTGCACGCGTGCATTTGGCCCTTTGCCTTTCTTTGAACGAATTCTGATTCCGAGGTTTTAGCGAACGCACGGAAGAGAATGGGCTTTCAGAAGCCACTCTGCGCATGCGCGCGTTCCTGAAGTTCCGGAATCGTTCGTTGGAAGGAAGCGTGTAATCGGGGGTTAGCGATCTCGCAAACAGCCCTCCAGGTCAGCAGGCACTCACGTAGTAGTCGACGGCGTGGTGCGGATATCCTGGTTTCGCCAGCGCCGTCCGGGCAGCCACGGCACACAGCAACAGCGTCGCCTGCAACACAGCGGGGGCGTGCGCCAGAGGCTCAAGGAGCCACGCAACAGGAAGCGCATCCGATGCCCGGGAATGGCGTCGGAGGGTGACCCGATGGACGTGCAACCAGTCGCTTTCGTTTATGAGATGAACTGTTATGAGGGTTCTGTACAACTAGCTCTTTTCAATTTTGTGTGTGTTTCACAAGATTGTTTTCATGATTTGGGTCGTTAATAAGCAAGAAGATAAATATTGTAGGAAAGATATATCATATTAAGAAATTTCATACAAACATGTAAAAACTAAAAACTTGTAATTAGAAGAATATTTTCTGTTGTTTTAATTCTGCGCCCGAGTGTTCCAAAGTTATAGATCTATCAATGATTTCACAACTTAAAAAAATTTCAACTTAATAAACTCGGATTTAAAAAATACTCAAACCATTGTAACATAAAATTGCCGTAATTAATAACCATTCAGTTTTTAAGTGATATATAAAACAAAAATAGTACTACAATTCCCTTTTTTATTTTACCAAATGTTGAAGAATTTTTACTTTACATATTCTATGTAAATGTTTGCAAAAATGAAAATGTATAGAAATTCACTTTTAAAGAAATTTAGAAAAAGTTATTTTAATATTCAAATGTATTAAATTCGCAATATAAGTTCTCTCACTACTTCACTCATTTAGTTAATTCATGATAATTTTTCTTTGTGATTTTTGCCCACTCTTTATAATGCTATAAAATTAAGAGTTTTCAGTTTTTTCCAATGTACGAAAGTGACTCGTCAATAATTATTCCCATCAGTCCGCATGGATTTTTTTAAGAGTATTGCGGTTATAAAAGTGTAACATTGGACTAATATTTAAAAAATATGATAATTCACTTTTTAAAAACTTTCCGAAAATTGCAAAAACCAACTAAATATGTATAATCACTGTATTTCACAAGCACACTGCACTAATAAAAATCCTGGATGTGGTGCTCCTGGTGTAGAAGTCATGCGTACCGTACCTTGATCCACTGCATGGTTCCAATCGGAGGTTGAAGTCGAACAACTGATCACACACACACAACACTGAACACTGACCCGTCTGGTGGAGCGGCTAGCGGAGAAGTGAGGCTGCACCCCGGCAGCGGGCTTTTATACGTGCCAGAATGAAGATTTGAATCAAGGTTAACCCGGGGTTACACTATAACGCAATAACTCCTTTTTCTTTCATTGTTCCCACAGGAAACACGCCGCTACGTGCATGTGTGGGTGAGTGCGGGTGGGAGTCAGGCAGTGGGGAGAATTTAGAAATATCGCCTTCCCCTTCCCCAGCCTCCGAATCTTTCTTTCAGAAAATCTCATTTCCATTGCGGGATCTGCGTACGTTCCCACCCCCACTCCGCAGCGTCGACTCCTCCACCCCACTCGCCGGACCCCCCGGCGCCCGCCGTCCTTGTCTGCGCAAGAAAAGCTGCGAGTTTCGTTGTTTCTGTCTCTGCCGGATTGCCTCATTCTGCATAAAAATTATACCCCGCTTCGCGTGTTGAAACGGTCCTGTTTCTTTTTTCTAGGTGAGTGATACCTGTCGTAAATGGCGCAGACACTCGCCCAGATGCCGAGACCACCACCCCCACTCCTGGCCTACCCTCTTCACGTCCCCATCACCCACTTTTTGATTGTCCACTTCCACCCTCGATTCTTTGCCTCTTCTTTCCTTCGTCCTCTATCTACTTCGTCCTCACCTCCAACCCCGCTTCCACCCCGACCCCACCCCGCAACCAGCCCCTGCCTCACCTCAGTAACGTCGCCTTATGGTCTTCACGCCTCATCCCCTCTCGTATCTCGCCGCGTTCCCCACGGTCTCTCCACCCACCCCATCCACTTCGTTTCGTTCTCCGCTCCGAGCCCACTCCTGCCGCCCCCGCCCCCGGCCGCCTTTCGCCATCGCACCTTCGCCGCCTCCGCCCCCGCGCTCTCGGCGCCGCCCGCACGCACCCACGATCTGGCCCTCCGAGCGGCACACTTTGCAGAGAGCTCCGCAATTTTGCCGCAATCTTCGTGAAATTGGTGGGATCGCGCGTTTCCCGTCGGGGAGTTCGAGGGGAAGAGGAGGGGGAAGTGATGGAGGAGCAGCAACTGGGGCGGCGCACGCGCGGCGCTACTTCCTCTTTCGGCCGCCGGATGCGCGCGAGACGCCCGACCCCGGAGGTTGTAAACGGTTATTGCTCACACGTCATTTCTCAAAAGTCCCGTCGTGCTGGGTGGCACTTTTTCTAACTCGCCGGATCCGGATCTGGTTATTCTATGAGAGTGTCAGAGATGTCCATGCCAAAGGTTCACATGATTTTGTCATTGAACATTTTTACTTTCTCGCCCTTTCGATTGTAAGAGAAGAAAGTATTTAAATTTCGACAGAAAACACTTATTTTCGAGCCGAACGAAAAACTAGATAAATATTTTATAAATTACTTCCTCCAACAAGCGGTCTTGTCAGAATTCATTTTTTGTGGGACCTTGATACAAAAAATCGATAGATGGTAAAACGTTTGTTTTTCCGTCCGTCCGTCCGTTCATGGTAAACCGTTCAGTCCATTTTCTCTTAAAGTTAAATTCTCCTATGCATATGATTAAAATGAAGGCTATGGGAATTTAAATGAATGTTTTGATATTTGTAAGTACTTTACATGGAGCCCACCAAAAATAATTTACTAAACTTTCTCAAAAATAGCTCTAAAGATATTGATTACACTTAGTCCTGGGACAGGGTAAAGGACGCTTGAGAGAATGGTGCAGGTTTCGTGTTCATTGGAATCCCTGAAAATAGAGATTTCTTCCTTAATGAAATATGTTCTTTAAAGACGAATATTGAAATTAGTTAGTGTTCAATTTTTCGAAATTATGCGTTGTTTTCCTATAATTTTGCGCAAAATGTAGACCATTTTCATATTTTTAAACATTTTTTGTCAAAAAACCGTTCCAAATTATTTCTTTAAGTTTTCTCGTCATAACTACCGGTAAAAAATATCGTGCTAGTCCCATTTGTGGCTATCGTTCCGTTTATTGAACATTGCAAAAAGTTAACATTTCTAAACTATAAAACTAAAGAAGATTTTTGCCGGCGATTTTTGACGAGCAGTTTTCTGGTTGAAATTAATGCAAATTTCAAAAATAATATTTTATCAAAAGCTGCTCTTATTTTTCTCTCAATTTTCCCGTGTATTAAGAAGGGGACGCTTTAAAGAATGATGTAGGTTTTATTTTCGTCGCTCTTACTGAATTTTAGAAAATGGCGTGTTGGGAAATTTGGATTGAGAGAATTACTTATTTAAGCGGCGACACTAATTCGAAACTCTCTGTGTTTCCATAACGTTGAGGTAAGGCTCACGGAGAGTTTACTCGGAAGGAGTTCGAGCCTTCATGTGGGAAAACCATGCGAGTCTTGGACTTCTTGTTGGGGGCAAATTCTTTCGCAGATTTGTGTAGTAATATAATATAGGGGAGAAATTAAAAATAATATGAAAATGTGTGTGCCTTTGTAGCAGTACTAATTTGTCTAACTCATATGTTTGGCCACATGGTTATCGTTATCATCAATTAGTAAATGATGTAAAAATAATAATCATATACGTCAAAAACCACATCTCTTGTGAGACAACAACTCAATAATAATAAAGCTTACACGTATCCCTATTGGGCAAAAGCATCCTGTTCCAAAACCAAAATACTACGTAAATATATGCAAACAGAACGCTTGTATCTAAAGAGTACACGTTGTTAGGGCGAGCGGTAAACAATAGATTACATTCCATGAGAAAACAGGACGCTATAAATATTAATAAAAAAGAGAGATTCATTATTTCATGATAATTTGCAAAATTTGTAAGTAATATTTATCAAGACTTGAGTATTATTTGAGCAATAAAAGTATGTAGTAAAATGTGTTGTCGCCAGCACTGTAAACTATGTTAAAAATAGTTTCACATGTTCAAAATATCTTTCATACTTCATTTCGTTAATCCCCAACTTTGCTCAAATATGTTCTTTCAGTATCTGGCTTTGGACTTCCCAATGAATTGTAGTAGCTGATAATGTTGTACTAACGTTCAAAAGTCTGCATTTTTGCATTTAGCATTTGTCCTAATGCAAAACTGCCCTGTGTGCATTTTTGTGCATATTATCAAAAAGCGTAAAAATGTAGATGTACTAAACTTTCACTCCCAAATGGAAACTTTCGGAAGCAGACTTCAACAAATACAAACTAATTATTTCAACTAAAATCAATGAAATGAAACTATTGCACAAGAACTATACTTCCATAACAAAGAAGATTGAGAACCTAACTGAACTTATACTTCAAAATGCAGAAATAATCATTCCTAAATCCTCAAATAAATCACCAAAAAGGCCACTTCCTAGGTGGAATCAAGAATGACAAAATGTCAGAAGAATACACAAACAAGTCTCTATCAATTACAAGAGACCCCCAACAACTGAAAATCTAATAGAAGAACGAGAGCTCTAGCAAGAAGAATATATAAAGTTAACAAAAGAAAATCATGGGATTATCTCATCTATAAATAATTCTACAAGCACGTCCGATAACTGAAAAAAAATAAAGCAATAAATTGTATATACAAACCTACCATTCATACTAAATTGTTAACAGGGAATAATAGAGTGCTTACGTCTCCCAAAGAAATAGCAAACACCTTGGCTCAGACCTTTACTAACAACTCAAGCGACTAAAATTTTAGTGATGAATTTCAATCGTATAAACTAAATTCAGGTGTCACAATAGATAAAATATTGCAACTAAATACCACTTGCCATCCAATAATAAATTATCATCTCCATGTTCAAGAAATTACTTCTGTTCCCTCCAATTTGAGAAAGTCCAGCCCAGGCCCAGATGGCATTTTAAATATTTTTTGAAAGAATTACCAATCAGTGCCATAGAATATTTTACTATCCTATTCAACGAACTTTTAATCTCTGGGTTATTTCCTAACTAGCGGAAAGAAGCAATAGTTTTAACAATTCCTAAACCAAATAAAGACATAAACAATCCTGTAAACTACAGACAAATATTAACATCCACCCTTTGTAAACTAATGGAAAAGGTAATCAGCAGAAGACTAATATGGCATTTAGAACACAACGACATACTAT